TGTGTTGTTGGTTTTTCCTTTTCTTATAAAGCTGTCTCTCAAATGAATAGCTCATGTCTTGTTTATAGCTTCCAAAAACAAAACTGAAATTGTGCCATGATGGAGACTTTGAATCTTTAACTCACGTATCAGTACACAACTAGTTGTCATAATGGAGAATTAATTTTCATATTGATCACAAGAGTAAAGAGAGTATATTATAGTTTGACCAATTTAAACTCAATGATAAACTGCACAAATAGATTTGCTTTCTTGTGCTTAAACAAACACAACAGATCAACTAAAGTTTGGTCTAAAAATAAGCTCATGGACATAAATTCCAATTAACAAAGTCAGACCCTAAATCAAAGCTAAATATCCAATGAGATTTTAAATCTTTCAAGCTTATCAAGTTACCCAATTTGGAACTATATTTCTCATTCAAATTACTCTGTTTATGACATATAAATATACTATCTCATAGTGCTCATAACAAAGAATTCAATAATAATAATATCCGGTCATTCTGACAATTGAGTTCCTCGAAAATGCCACTAGAATATGGTCTTAGACCATTTGTCCAAAATGAATTCCAACAATGGTCTCCATTTCACGAAACAGAGAAAAGTTCGCCCTGAAAACTTTACAGCTACCAGCGCTGCTTGCCTCTCCGGCGGCCGGTGCTCCTCGCCACCATCGGGGAGGGCCCCCTCCCTTGTCCCTTTCCTCTTTTTCTTTTCCCAGTGTCTCGTTTTGGTCCAAGTGCTGTTCGTTGGGTTTTTCAGATGGCCTCTTCCTCGACGGCGGTGCGACTCCGACGTGTCGCTGGGGTCGCAGTGGCGGTGGTGCGTCGCCTCTTGTTGGCTGGCGTTGCCACCTACTCCTCTGGTGGCCTGTGTCGAGCCCAATCTCTCTCTCTGGTTTCTGCACGCGAGTTGATGAGATCTGGTGTCTCGGCTCGGCGAGGGTTTTCCGTCGGTGGTGACTCGTGGAGGTTTGTCTCGGCGGTGCTTTTGTGGGTCTGTTGTAGGCTTGGCGACAGTTGCTGTCGTTGAGCTATTGGGTTTGTGCACTTTATCTGGCCGGTAAATTGAAGTGAAACCAAGAGGTAAGATCTATTCTTCTCTGGCAGTGCGAGGCGTGGGTGGATCGGTGTTGAGTGTGGCAGAGGTGGATCCGACTCACGACTATTTCGTTGATCCATACTGCTAGAGGATGGCGGTGGAGATCGGAAGAAAGCTGACTATCGACTACTCTGCAGATCTGTGATGCTGGAGGACGGTCGAAAGAGATCAGAGGAAAGGAGCCATGGGTTTACCGACGCTGCTACAAGACGCGGTACGCAGCGGAACCGACGAGGTAATTCGGTGGGAAAGCACTGTACGCTGTAGGGGTTAGTGGGAGTTGGTGATTCGGCACATGCGACCGGTGGCTGTGGGCTTAGCAGTCCACAGTTTGTCTTCGCACCGATTCCTCCGTAGGCCAGATGGAAAATTAGGTGTTAGGTTTGGATTTGACTTTTTACTTTTGGTTCTCAGTTTGGATGGCGAACTTATATAATATTTATATTTAAAAAAAAAAAAGAATTCCAACAATCCTCCATATCAATAGAAATGAGTCTATGTTATAACACATATCATATATGGACTCTTATACCGGCCCATTAGGCCCATCAGGGCATTGTACTTAACCTAGATTCCCTATGTACTCTATATATACATTCCAGTGATTAATAAGACTCTCTGAGCGAAAAACCCTAATAAATCCGACATCACCAAAACCCTAAAAGCAAGTCGAAACTTAAAATACGCATATCTTCCAAACCGTGAGGAACCAGAAGACGATCTACATATCAAATCGAAGCCCTCGACGAGACGAATCTACTGGTGAAAACCGTTTGTCGATCCAACGTCGGACGCGCCCTCACGCACACTTACAGTACACGACGATCAACCGAAAAAAAAAAAAAAACCAGATCCGAGTTTTTCCTTCTTCAACCAGCAGCTTCTCCAGTTTTGGTGATCAATCCTTGGAATTTGTAGCGGCTAACTGAGGTCTATTAGCTCCCAGTTTCATTAGCCTGTCAGAAATCCAAAGGTGGAAAAGGTATCTTCTAAAACTGAGAGCCATAGAACCTGTTGTTTAAACACTTCAAAACCCTATAAAAAATAAAAAAAAAAAAAAAAAAAAAAAAAAAAATTCGATCTCTAATTGATTGAAAGTGTTTGATACTCTGATGATTGATTGATAACTTGTTGATTGATTGTTTAAATTACAAGTTTATGCATGTTCAAAGGTTTTAAACTCGTTTTATAAAACCCTAATCTACAAAAACCTAACAACCATTTTTGGCCATGTTTATGGCATAAACCTATTCGATTTTCTTCATGTTTAATAAGCTTGTTGCAGCTTATTTTGATTGTTGATTCTCTTGCTTGAAACACTTGATTGAATAAACTAAGAAAATCAACCCTAAATCCTAAGCTTGATTCACGATTTTGTAATCTTCAAAATCGTAAGTCATAATGCTTAAACCCTAGTCCTTTTCACGTGATTTCTTTGTTGTCCTTGTGAAATTATTAAAACCATCGACCACAGATCCTATAGATCTCGAAATCACATCCAAAATATGTTTTCCAAACCGTTAAAACCCTAGATAAAACCCTAATCATATTCGGCTCCCCTAGGGTTCCTCCTAAACCGCCTAAAACCGGCTAAACCTGGTTCTCATTAACCGAAATTATATTCGGCTTTAACCGATTAAATCACAGCTATTAAACCGACATCATGTTCGGGGTAACTAAAACCATACCCTTTAAAATTTACTATTTCCGAGAAAGTTCTCTCTAATAGAAAGTTTCCTCATATAAAAACTTTCCTCATATAGAAATTTTCCCGACATAAAAACTTTCCTCATTTAGAAAATTACCCAAATTAGAAACTTTCCAAATTTAGAAACTTTCCTAAAATAGAAATATTCTCAAAATAGAAAGTTTCATCATCAGCATTCAAAATTTTCTCAAAACAATCCCTAACAAAATCAATCTCATGTTTCAGATGTCAAACATTCAGAAATGTTAATTCGAGGCCCTTCATGTCTCCGGGGATAACTACCTCGAGTTGGCCCTAGACATGCGCTTGTTCCTTGCATCGAAAGAACTCGATGCGTGTATTACCGACGGTAACACCGCATCTCGTAAGGGACAGTCTCAGGCGATATGCCACATACGCCATCATCTGGCCCCGAGCCTTAAGCAGCAATATCTCACTCTTGAGAATCCACTTGAATTGTGGCAAGCGCTGAAAAAGCGATATGACCATCAGAAAATGGTCCAGTTGCCTCAGGCAGATTTCGACTGGAAGAACCTTCGGTTCCAGGACTACAAATCCGTAGATGATTACAACAACGAACTCTTTCGTATTGTTGCCATCCGGAAACTCTGTGGCGAGGATGTGACAGATAATGATCTCCTCGAGAAAACATTATCCACATTCAGCACAGAGAATGTTGTGCTCCAACAACAATACCGTGCAATGAAACACACATTGTACGAAGACTTGTTGTCCTGTCTTCTCCTCGCTGAGAAGAATAACCAGCTGCTTATGAGGAACAGCGCTATGAGGCCCCCGGGATCGGCTCCTGTCCCAGCTTCTCGTCAAGAGTCCTACCATGTTCAACCCGATAGATCCTCAGATCACCGCCGTGGACGTGGTAATGGACGTGGTAATGGCCGAGGACATGGACGTGGAAGACGTGGACGCGGACATGGTCGTGGCAACCGACCTAACCTCAGTTATGGTCCTGGTCGTGGTCGAGGCATCACCAAGCCGACCCGCCACACCAACCCCGATCACTCTGCTTGTACCAGATGTGGGATGTTCAACCACCCAACAAAGCAATGTCGCACCCCCAAGATCCACTGCGATCTATACCAGAAGTACGGAAAAGCTCCTGCTGAAGCCAACATGACTCAGCCAGTCGATGCTGCTAACCTGGAAGGTGACGACCTCCTTGATGATGAGAACACCACAAACGAGCAGACCGACCCCATGGACTATGAAACAGCTGATCTCCTGGATTAATTCAATCATCTCAAACTCTGATACAATTTGATTTTGTTCTTTATTTTTTTTCATTTTGGGATTTGTTTCATTTTTTTTTCCATTTGCCTTTATTCTCAGACACTGCTTTACTTTATGATTTATCACATTTTCTGAATTCCTCAATACTGGATTCTATCTTCTATTCATAATGAAGCACACCAGCAAATGGAAACCATAGTCGTAGATAGTGGATCCAGCCACACTATCTTAAGAAACAAAAGTTACTTCATAAACCTAACCTATCAAACCGCAAATATTAGCACCATCGCGGGTCCCTCAAACCTTATCGAAGGATATGGCCATGCCTATGTGTTGCTATCAAATGGCACACAACTTGAAATACCAGATGCTCTATATTCTCCTAGTTCGAAGAGAAATCTTCTGAGCTTCAAGGATATAAGACAGAATGGTTTCCACATAGAAACCCAAGGTCAAGGGAACAAAGAATCCCTCCTAGTCACTAAAACCGTAGACGGCCATAAACAAATCCTCGAAACCATACCCGCGCTCTCTACTGGACTTTACCATGCTAAAGTCAGTATGATTGAAGCTAATACCACTCTCAAAGCCCGGTTTACTGATTATACTATTTGGCACGACCGGCTCGGTCATCCCGGTGCAAATATGATGCGTAAACTAATTCAAAACTCTCAAGGGCATACCCTCAAAGAAAACCGAGCTTATCCTCAACACCTCATGTGCACAGCTTGTTCTCAAGGCAAATTGATCACTCGGCCTTCACCAGTTAAAATCTCTAAACAAACACTTCATTTCCTAGAAAGAATCCAGGGCGATATTATTCGACATACCTTATTCGAAAAGGTACCTTCTGGTCTGTTGATGCCGATACTAAGGCTGGGTCTTGGATGTGGAGAAAGGTTCTCAAGTATCGACTGCTCGCGAGCTCATTCCATCGAATGGATATTCAAGGAGGTGACACAACAAATTTTTGGTTTGACACTTGGTCTGATTTGGGTAGAATCATCGACATTACTGGGCCTTGTGGTATCATTGATATGGGTATTCCTGCTACTGCGACGATTGCTTTGTTGACTCGCCGAAGACAAAGACGACATCAGAATGAGGTTCTTAATGAGATTGAGAATGTTCTTCACAACCAGTTAATAACACTCAAGCCAGGTGCGAGTGATATTGCAATGTGGAAGAGCAAAACTGGTTCGTTCAAATCAGGCTTTAGCTCGAAGGACACTTGGTTGCTTATTCGACAGGAAGCAGGTAGAATCTCCTGGTCTTCAGGCGTCTGGTTCAAGCACTCTACGCCAATGTTTTCAGTATTTTCATGGCTAGCAATCTATGATCGGCTCTCGACAGGTGATCAAATGCAACAGTGGAACGTTGGGGCGAACGCGTCGTGTGTGCTCTGCAACTCTCCACTCGAATCGCGAACTCACCTGTTTTTTGCTTGCTCTTATTCTGCCAAAGTTTGGTCTGCTTTAATAAAGGAACTGCTCAAGAGTAGCTTCTCAGTTGTTTGGCAAGACCTGGTTCACCTCATCTCTGCAAATCAGCCTGATCGTAATGCTCTGTTCCTGCTGCGCTACTCCTTTCAAGCTGCAATTCATTGTATATGGAGAGAGCGTAATAATCGACGCCATGGAGAAGCTCCCCGAACAGCTCGCTCTTTGATACATCTCATTGACAAACTCATTCGCTGCCGGATCCAATCTATTAGGGACTTGGGTGATCGGAGGTTTGAAGATGCTCTGCAACTTTGGTTTGCGACAAGATAACATAGCCATTGTTTTTTAAATTGTTCTCTTTCAGCTCTCTTTCAATTAAAAAACGATGCACTCTGATGTAAAGAATCAGTTTTTTTGAGGTGAATAAATTTTACATTCTTTTTTTTTTTTTAAATGCAACTATTCCATTCAGTTGTTCACAACCATGTTGACTTCTGAAACTACACAACGCGTGTTTGTTACAGCCAGACTGGTCTGGGATTTTCCATAGTATTTGCATGTTCAATCTTGCTACGACATTTGCTAGCATTGCTATGACATGTGTAAGCTTTTGAACCCATAATACCACAATTGTGGCATATTTTCATTGAGATCTTAACTCACGTATCAGTTGTCATAATGGAGAATTAATTCTCAAATTGATCAGAAGACTAAAGGGAGAAGATATTATAGTTTGACCAATTCAAACTCAATGATAAACTTCAAAAATAGATTTGCTTTCTTATGACTAAACACACGAAATATCAACTAAAGTTTGGTCTATAAAAAATAAGCTTATGGACATAAATTCCATTTAATAATTGAGAAATTGATTAAACTAGCCCTAAGAAACTTAAAGTTCTTTAATTTAGTCCCGTTTGTGGGAAGCTACCCAATATAGCATTCATTAAATTAAAGGCTAAAAGACTATCTTACCTTTACCTAATTTCTAATCAATCACACCCAATTTTGAAATATTTGCGTCGAATCTAACAAAGATGACGAAGCTATGGCGGACCAACTCATAGACGAGCAGATCTCCGAGTTTAAGGAAGCCTTTAGAGGATGGCGATGGTTAAATCTCTTCTCACACCACTTATATATATATATATATATATACATATATATATATGTGAATCCGCGAGCATTCGTTTTTCTTCCATTTTCATCTGCAATGGATGATTATAAAATGATAGAGCCATGAAATTGAGTCGATACTCGCTTTAGATTCGGTGTATCCTCTCTGGGTAGTTTTTGTTGGATTCGTTTTTGCTTTTTGATCTGTCGAGCATCTTCTCCATATGACCAGATGATAACTAAGAGTTTTCAAAGCTCTTTATAGAGGTTATAATTTCCCTGTCTTGTAGTACAAATGGGTTTATCAATCCAGATGTGGTGTTAGACACTAAAATATGTGATCAGGTTCTTAATTCAAGCAAACAAGAGTGGTTTTGATTATCTAAAGACAACTACAAATTTAAACAGGATTAAAGACTAATGAAATGATTAAACAAGAACTAAACAATGACAAATGATGAGAATGTATGAATGATGATGAGAAAGGTCTTAGACATGATAGTGGATTAGGGTGCCTTCAGTGATAAAAACTAATGAGCTAATGAATCATATGATCAAGCAAACCATTCAACATAAACATCTTTAATTAAGTTAATCCTCTCATGAAGGTATTAACTCCTATGCTAAAACAGTTTCTAACCCAATCATCATCAGTGAAACATGAGTTAACAAGCATTAAGAATCAGTTTAATCTGCCATTTAAGCATATAGACAATCATTCCCATGATGAATAACACTTAAACCTCTAACAACCTTGGTTCAGGCATTTCATCAAACACTTTTGGTGCATGAAATGCCCAGAATCTAGACCACATATGATTTGTATGGATCTAGCATAGAGAACAGGTTGTAGAGAATGGAATATGCATGATCTAACCCCTAAGCTCACTAATTTACCACTTAAGCACCCTAATCTACATATCTAAGACCTTAATATGGTATTACTCACTAATCATGATCAACACACTAGATCCTTTGCAAGATGTGTTGTTAATCATGATTAGAAGTGTGATTTGATGATAAGAAATGATGGAACAAGATGAAAATAAACTTCAAATCGATATTAAACTCAAAAGCAAAGTGTAAGCAAGTGGTCTTTCACCAAAAAGGGAAAAGAGACTAGAAATGGATAAAAGGTTCTCTCCAAATTAGGTCTAAAAACTATATATAGATGTCTTGGGCGAACCGGGTCAACCCGGAACAAACCGAGTATTGACCCGGTCTTGGTGGGTAAAGATGAGTTTGCCACGGTCTAGCAAGTTCTGGTCAGCCCGTGGCAAGTGACCGTGGCAAAGTCTTGTATCTTCGTGTTCTTGGATGAATTTTGGTGTCACGGTCTAGCAAGTCTGAGTCAATTCCCGTGGCAAGTGGTCGTGTCAAACGCCGAATGTATGTAAAAGGTTACCACGGTCAAGTCCTAGACCGTGGCATTCAGACCGTGTCAATTGCCGAAGGTGTGTAAGATGTTGCCACGGTCAAGTCCTAGACCGTGGCATTCAAACCGTGTCAAGTGCCGAATGCTTGTAAAATCCTTCCTGGCCAAATGTTACTTTGCCACGGTCAAGTGTAGACTGTGGCATGAAGATCGTGTCAATCGCTGAAGGATTGCAATTAAGTGCCACGGCCAAGTGTAGACCGTGGCATTCCATCGCGGCATGTTTCACTTAGCTCGCATCATTCAGGGCTGTTTGGACCACTCCGCATTCCGGAGAGTGTAACTTCTACGACACTTATCCGAATTGAGTGATTCCGGTTGCAGAGGACAGAGGACTCATATATCTCCAACTGTGGTGAAGGAAGCTTCGGTGCTTGGGAAGTGGAAGGCTTCCTGGAGGGCTTATCTTCGCAATCCATTTACACGATCAGAGAAGATCGTCTAGACATGTATCCATTCCGGAGACCGTATCTTCCTGCTCATAGGTCCGAATTGAATGATCTCGGACGTTCTGGAAAGAGGACTCAAATGTATTTGATTCCCATGAAGACCCCGGAAACTGAATCGGCCTGGAAGTGCACCGTCCTTTGCGTTTTTCGGAGCTCATCGGCTTGATCCAAAACGGCAGCGAGACAGGAGTTTCTTTCGACGAGCTTAACTTTCTGCTCACGCGTCCGAAGTGAATGATTCCACTTGTTCTGGAACCGTGATCCAATCCTCTCCAACTTTGATGAAGCACCCGACAACTGAATCGGACCGGAAGGTTCCCCGGACCGGTGATTTCGGAAACGTTTCTGCACCCAGAGATTTTGGCAGATAAATCCATTAGCCGGTACGTGTTTTGGCCGAGAAAAAACCTTCCTGGTGCGCGAGAATGGCCGAGAACCTCCAAAAGTCCAATTTCACCATTTTTCAAGCCTTGGTCACTATTCCACCTCCTGGATTCATCTTTTCAGCTCCAAATACACCTGATAAACACTCAAAACATGCAAAGACTCATTGGGACCTAATGCATCTCCTAAGTTCTAAAACAAACCCTAAGGACCTAAAATGCATGGAATAAAACATGATTTGGAATGAATTATGCAACCTAAATGATGCAAATGATGAACATATCAACTCCCCACACTTGTCCTTTGCTTGTCCTCAAGGAAACAAGAACAAATGAGAGAGAGAGGTTGAATGCATGGGAGTTCACATTTCCTTTTTGAGAGAAGTGATCACAATGAGAATTCAAGTTCATGCTCAATTATGCAATGCAAAGCCATACTCAGATATATAACAACTCAGCAAGGAATCTCCACAAGTTCTTCTCTCGCTCAACTCTTTCACATTCATTAAGTTTTTATCAGGTGAATCTCATGATGCAATGTTTAAACAAGCTGGCTTGGCTAGGGAGAGGCTATGAGATTAAAATGATCTCATTAGTGTTCAAGTGGGTTTAATGCAGCAAAGGGATCTCTCAATGAATGATCAAACTTTGGCAGAATGCTAAAGGTAAAAAGCAACCTATGCATACAAGGGCAAAGACTCATCACACCCCACCCTCTACTCAAAGCTTTCTCACTTGCTCACTCTCTCAAGAACCTCAATTTTCACACTTATTTTCCTCTCACTAGGGGACTTACTTTTCACTTTCACTCTCAAGTCTTGGAGTTCAAACTTTACACAGCTCTTTTTCTTTTGCAACCTCTAGCCTCTTTTTTTCTTTTTCTTTCTTTTCAAAACATTTGAGCTCTTTGGCTTCTTTTCTTTTCATTTTACTTAGAGGCTAGACTCTTTCTTTTTAACACACCAGAGCTCACTCTATTTAACTCAAAACTCCAAGAATGATTTCCTTTTTCTTTCATTCCCCTAGTTATTTCCACTTTCTCTTTTCCACTCATCTCACCTTTTTCCACTCACCAACAAGTCTTTTCCCCCACACTTATTCCTCGCCAAAACTCTCAGTTCCTTGATGTTGGAACACAGCACTCAATGAGACATGCCCTTGTTGCTATAAACCTAACACTTTCTGCTAAGTTTTATCCAAGGTGGCCTTTCAATTCACACACAAACATTGGCTTGAAAGAAGGATGGGTTCAAGGTGAGGGAACTGATCCATGATGCGGATTCAGCTACTTGAGCTAAGGAAAAAGGGTGGTGAAAACAATGGTTCTAGCTCAAGTATGTATATCGGTATCCACAAGCTTTTTCAAACAATGCATCACAAGATATTTTCAAGTCAAGTTCAAGGTTCCCACTTAATTAGAGTTGAGTTCAATTCAAACTTGCTTCTCAGATTCAGATCATTTCAGACTTTGCAAGCACAGAAAAAGATTCACAAGCATATTCAGTTCAAGTTCTCAAAGTGATGTACTCTCTAGAAAACCTATCATTACTCCCTGCAAGATGCAACCTACATGAATATGCAATCTAGACTCAATCCTAAAAATGAGAATGCAACTACATGATCAATTTTTTGTGACAATTTTTTCTGGTTTTTTCCATTTTTTTTTTTGGTTTTTATATGCACTTAGATGAGACTACATGAATATGCAACTAGAATGTGACTCAAGACTCAAAGTGTAAAATAAGAAAAGAGAAAACATGATTAGTAAAGGATGAAACTCCTCCCCCACACTTAAATAACACAGTCCCTTGTGTTATAAAAGCATGAGAAAGGAGTTAAAAACAAAGCAAACAAGTAAAATGCAAAAAGAAAAAGAAATCTACATGCATATATACAGAGTTTGAGTGTTTACCTCAATCACTGAGGTCTGATCCCAAGTAGTGGGAT